TAGAGGGCGCAACAGGATAAGAAATCTTTGAAGGACTTCCACATTTACGCTCCATTTCCAAACAGTTCAAATGACAAATAAATGCATACTCTGAAAGCGCTCCACAAGACATGTGTGATTATATTACTGGATGCTCGAAATTGAACGGGAGAATGCACGTTTTAATAACTAAATTCCACAGCTTCACTACTAGTAGAGAGACGCTGCAAGGTAGAATTAATTCACAGACGCAATCGCTCTCACTAATGCATTCATATTAATGTAATCTTTACTGTGCTATTTTATCTGTATCTCATTTAGAATGAGCAGAAATCTGTGAGAAATATAACGACCCAAAGACAAAAGAACTGATAAAAAAAGCTGTTATAGGAGCAACAGCCGTGTGGGCAGTGCTGTGTCATATGCCATAGCTGTGCACAAGGTGTTTGTCACAGCTCCAGACTTATTTGTTCATTAATGACGTCATCAGCGACTAGTCGACTTCGACTCAACTTTCATCACATAAAAGTCGACTTCAAAAAATCAGAAGTCATTCAACCCCTAATTACTAGTACCATGCCCAAAACTGCAACATTTGTGTGACAGAAATAAACAACATATAAAATCGTAAAACTTGTTAATGAGAGATGTGTTATCACTTTTCTAAGCGTTACACGTACGATTATTGCATGGCAGTTGATAACTTTGCTCCACCAACTACAGCAAACAGCAGAATTTTCCAGTGCAACATAGAAGTGAAGATTTTGAACGAATGATTCAATGAATCACTTTTTTCGTTTCGGAATGAATCAGTGTTTTGAATGAATTGAACGACTTTATATCGTTCATAGTCACTTGTCGCCACCTACTGGGCTATCGATGCTATCAGTCAAATTCGATGACCGGAGATAAATGTTTAATTCATATAAACTGTAACATATTGCATCAATCCTTCTTGTAATACATTAAAATACAAAGTCACTGGTATCTTGATATCTTCGTGTTGATTTGGAAACCGCTCTAATGAATTCAGTCAGATTCAAACAGTGAGTCTTTTTGAATGATTCAAAGTTCGCGAATCGATCGTCGGAACCCACTATAATTGTGGCTGCAACTTTTTTTTTTTAGAGACAAGCACCACTCATTTTCATCTAAAAAATGTTTTAAATTTTCCTTAACTGCACTTGTCATAGTGATAGCAGCTGTCATAACACTGTTTCCATGGTTCTTACAAACATGGTTCTCTGAAACCCCCTGCCAATCTACCCCCCACAGTTCTTCATCTACCCCACAGATCTCTCTCTTCCTCTTGTAAGAAAAAGAACATGAATTACTGTCCTGTAGAGAATGATAACCGACTCTGCGTTTGCAATCAAGACATCTCTCTCTCTGTCTCTTTCCTGTCCTCTGTCTCTCCTCTTCATCCTGTCTTCCTCTCACTTTCTCCGTTCTGTCTATCTCTTGTGTGCCACTGTCAACAAAAACGTTTCCTTGAGCCAAACAGGTGCAAAAGCCATAAGTGAATTTTACAGCCAACAGCAATGAAGTAAAACAGCATTTGGACACTTAAGTCACATTTAAAAACATTTACAAAGTGTCATCTGCACTCAAATTCAAATGATCTTTCTGTATTTTTTTCTTAATTTGAAACAAATGCCAGATAATCTATAACATGCATTAAGAAAATAGATAGGGTGAATTTTCATTTCGTCACAACTTTTAGTGTCTTTTTGGGGCCACTGTAGGTGTTTGGGGACTCTGCGTCTGAGGAATGTTCAAAAACTGTGTACAATAACAGAGGAGAGAGGAATTATGGGATGAGGAGAGATGGAACAGAGACATGGACATTTGTCATTGAGGAAAATAGGGTGGCTGTCACTAAAGTTGTAGCCACTCAGTTGATAAATGAGAGACCGAGGGTTTGTGAAGAGGAGCTTCATGTTCAGCAGATGTGTGGGTAACACATGTGCAAATGTGACAGTGACAAAAATTGGTTCTGATCTTTTCTAGTTTTCTAAGATCCTAACATGTTCTGAGTGCCTTTTAATGCATTGGTTTGGTGTTGTGATTGGTTGTAGGCTATGACTCAAACTAAAAGTGGATTTCTAACTGTCTTTCTTGTGTTTGTGTGTGTTGTAGGTGGAGGCGAGATGTCAGTAAAGCTGAAGTTTGATTGTCCGGCTGACGGCGGCATGGTGCAGCGGAGCCGCTCCTTCACTGGAGTAAACACACTCGGTGGCCGGAGAAGGTAAGCAGTTATGGTTTGTGTTTTGAGAGAAGATGATGTGTTTCCATGTGCGTCAAACTGCATTACTTGCACTTTTATTAAGATAAATGTCCTCAAAGCAGGGGTCATGGAATCCCATGGAAAGCATGACTCTTGGTCGCAGGAGTTTATGCCATGAGGACATCTCGGGGAGGTTTTGTTTCAAAACTGAGCACAAAACAAAACATTTAGGAGGAGTCCTGATCATTAAAAAAGCATTCATGGCACTATTGTTAACGAAAAGTAAAACTAGAAACTATACAAATAGTTTTTCAATAATTGAAATAAATTAGAATATAATTTTTAGAAAAGTCGTTTCTCTTAAAAAAAACTGTAAAGCTAAAACTATTTTTCTAAAATAAAAACAGTATTTAAATTACTAGAACTAAATCAGAAATGTAAATAAATGTATATAGAAATATTCACAAAAAACATGAACTAATAAAACTGACAGAAGCACTATAATGAAAATATCAAAATAAAAATGAATTTGATATATTAATAAATACTATCATAGTATATAAATAATACTAATAATATGACACTGGCAACAACATAAAAGCCCAGCAGGATAATTTCTACCTCTGGCATCTCACTACTTGTTCCAGATAAATTTCAAGTACATTTTTATTGTTTTAGTGCATTCAGGGCATCTAAATTCATAATTTTGCCAATTGCCTTGACATTTTCCATAATTTGTAGTATGTAGAACATTTCCAGACTTAGTAAAGTGAAACAAAAGGGATCCAAAACAGCATCATAAATATATTTCACTCAGTACTGAAAAGTATGGATTAAGTTCAAGTAGTGTTATCTAATTAAAAATGATCTATTTTATTTAATATGTGTCTTTGTTATGTACTTTTATGTATAGTTGAATTTCACTTTGTTTGCTTACAGCAAACTCTATTGATGTTCCAAATCAGTCAATTAGGAGGCATAGGATGTGGCCTTAGCAGGGAGCTCACTAGGTTTTGGAACGGAGCTTAGCTTATATCTGATGTGGTTTACGGTTTTTCTTTGATTGCTTATAGTTCTAATTCAGCATTCCACACAATCTGTACCATAAACAAGCGTTGGTTATTATGTAATGGCAGTAGTTATTTCAAGAACTAAAGGTCCTGAGAGGATGCACGGTTCGGATTCGAGTACAAGCATCATCTGAGCAGTGTAACAGCTTACATAAGTAAACACAGCTGCCTGTGTGTGTGTGTGTGTGTGTGTGTGTGTGTGTGTGTGTGTGTGTGTGTG